ATACGCACAAAAAACCCGATGATCGACATGACCCTGGGGGTATGGTGTGCCCTGCGATACTAACAACAGCTAACCACCTCACCCAACCCTCTCACCCTCATCACGAATAACCCAGACCTAGCAGATGACCTAACCTCAGGTGAATTGACCGGTTTCCAACCGACAGACCGGATGCACGTGCACCAATGGTGCACCACCAGCCGCCTCAAGACTCTAGCAGAACTATGCCCGGATAAGAGACCGACCCTTTTGGACCTACTTCGCTACCACCAAGTCAAGACTTATTACATGGCAGGGGATATATACATAGGACCTTAATACACCTCGAACATCTATGCACTACTCGGAAACATCTTTCACAGGGAATTTCAACACTATACTCCATGCTAATGTCGAATAACAATGTCATACCTCTGGGGTTCACAAGCAAATGGGAAAGGGATGCAGGGACGACACTCACCACACAAGAATGGAACAAAATCTTTACCCTCACGCACAAGTGCTCTATAAGCTCAAAGTTCCAAGAGCTAAGCTACAAACTTCTCACATTTTGGTACAGGATGCTGGACGTCCTACACCGCATGCATGACACATGTTGGTGATGCGGCTCAGATGTGGCAACCAATATCCATGTCTGGTGGTCATGCCCCTCCATAGTTCCTTACTGGGAAATGATACGCTTCAAATTACAAGACATCACTGGCACAATATACCCCTAGAACCACTGACAATGCTTTTACATCACACCTTCCAGCCACTGAAAACATACAAAAGAAATCACTGAATCTCCCTCTACTCACTGCCGCAAAGTCCTTAATCCTTTAATTTTGGAAGCAAGAGGATGTGCCCACCCTCCAGCAGTGGGTGGCAAAGGTAGAGGAAATATACTCTATGGACTCATTGGCTGACCTATGGGGTCGCTTGGATAAATGTGCCCTGACATGGACTTCCTGGTTGACCTATATCTCCAGAGTGGAGAGAGGGATGACTGGAACCCGGCCTCTAATGACACTTAGATTGGGAGACCGCTAACACAGATGCGACGGATACTCAACTGACTTACCAACTCAACACGGAGTTGCCACTTCATTCCCACCCCACCTCACCCCACCCCCTATATAGTCCAACTTTTGACCTCTATAAACATGACATAGTCCAAAGACAAGCAGCCCTAAAAAGGGCCCTATGCCTAACACAACATATAACTCAACCCACACATCCTGGTTAGGGAAGACTTAGGGAGGAGTTTTAAGCGTAAAGATGACTAAAATTTAAGGGGGTATGAATACATGAATAAGTGTGTGTCTGCATGGGTCAGTGTGTGTCTGCATGGGTCAATGTGTGTCTGAATTGCTTTGTGTCAGTGTGTCTGCATGGCTTTGTGTCAGTGTGTGTGCATGAGTCAGTGTATCAGTGTGTCTTCATGGGTCACTGTGTGTATGCAAGGGTCAATATCTGCCTGTAAGCAGAGTTGTTTCACCCAGAACCCGGCTGTCAAACGTACGTTAAAACTAAAAACTGGGTATTTCCAAAATATATGCACTTAGATCCTCAAACTGAGGCAATCTGTCTTGTGGTTCAATTTGAGTTGTGTTCTAGGAACAAGTTGAGCTGTATCATCTATATAAGGCTAGACTTGTTTTAGAATGTTAACACAAAGTAAAAAAAAAAATCCATTGTAATGTAATGTTAGATATCATGAGAGTTTACCATCCCTTCAATTAAAAATTCTGTTAATTCAGACCTGGCTAACTCGCAGCCCTCGAAGACCTCTAAACTACAACTCACATCATCTTTTCGCTAGGTGATGAAACAAAAAGTCACCTTGAATTATGTAGGTTCAAGTTCTTTTGGCAAACTATATAAGACCACACAAGATCATTATTATCTTCCAACAGGAGGACTATTCTAACAATAAATATTAATTGGAATCCCAGATCTAGTGTGAGACATGTTGTCATTGTCTGGCGTTGGCTTCATGATCTACTAACCACACCACAAGGCTTGGAAGACTTCTTTCACTGCTACAGTCTGACATTATGTCAAGACTCAAGATCATCCTTACAAGCGCGAAGCAACATTTTGTTATCCTTACATAAGTGGTATTGATGTTGAATCAAATCTCAAGCCTTCTCATTCCCCTCGTGAGAAAAGTAGCAGCCATTAAAGAAAATAAAAATCAGATTTCCTGCAACCGAATCTAAAATAACAGGGTAATTCACTAAGATTGGAAGAGTTGGAAAATGACAAGGGAACTGCAAATTTTGTGCAAAAATCATGAGAATTTTTTTGAAAAATTAGAAATTCGCTGTTTATTTCAATTCCAGACAATTAGCGTTTTAGTGAATAACCCTGTTAATTTCTAAAACGTAATGGAAAAAGTGAATTAGCGGTTTCACCGGCTCTGACAGACTTCTGCTGTATTTATCTTACAAAAAACTATTTGTAATAAACATTTAATTTATTGCAAACTGGGGGATTAGTAGAATATTAAAGACATCTGTTAAAGGATAATCAAAGCCTTGTTTAATAATGCTTCTCACACGCATTGTCCCCCCCAGCTGATTCTATAACCATTCCATTTCTCAGCAACTGTTTTGCAAGACACTTTCCATTGTATAAAGGCTTGCTGTTGTCAGAGCCAAACTGTACATTATTATCGCTTGTTTTATTGCTAGCAATTATTGATAACAGTTTTCCTAGGGGCATGTTAAAAGAAACATATTTCAAAGTGGATATGAATAAGAAATAAACTCACTATGGGTCTCTTGCCTTTGTAAAATTTCTATATTCTTCTCTTTTTCATGGAAGCAGCTGCAGGAAGCAAAAAAAATACCGGATAGGCTCAGCATGTGTTTATAGTATACATGTGCCCTACCTACAGTCAGCCAGCCATTTTACTGTGGGAGGCTTGATAAGAGGTCTCCTGCACATATCCAAATGCATGCAATAAATCCTGAATCTTTAGCAAAAAGAAATACCAATAGTACCTCATCCGGAGAGATTCGTCAATCTACTCTTTTATTATTTCACTAAAAAGCTCGAGGCAATCTAATCAAATCAAGAAGGGGTCATAAGACCTTGTCTGCCCATCTTGCTTTTACTCTTTTCTTAAGATCAAGTTTTTTAACGAAATAATGATAGTAATGTATATCAATTTGTCTAGTTCACGTGTTATTCGTAGCATTTTTCTACAGATTCTGGTTTTATTGCGAGCAAGCAGATGTGGGAAGTATTGTTAAAACTGGTATAGTAAGGGCACCTGCCTACGTCAATCTCCTGGGGGTTCCATAACTTCATGGACCCCCTGCAAACATCAATCTGTTGAGGGGGTTCCATGCATGCAGATCCCAGGCCTATGAAATATGCATACATTGCATCATTTTAAAGGGCTCCTACAAACACCATAACATTGTATAGTTCTTCAAGATATGGTGCTTTTGTCCCCATGCCCTGAAACCTGGAAATAAAAATTATGTAGCTATAGACCCACTCTTCTCAGTGCCCGGCATCAGAGGAGGATGCTATACTTTCTCCTCCAATTATACAAATTCTAAAAAGGGCTTATATTTGCTGGCAAGCACACATCAATCTTACTCTTATCTCACATGATGGATCTCTGGATGCTTGATTGGGGCGTCTTAGTGTACAGATCACTCCACAAAAAGAAAGAATCACTCAGTAAGCTGTCAAAATGCGACACAGACAGACTGCAGAGTACATACACACGGTGCACTGAATACACACACAACGAACACACACAGAGACTGCTCAATACATACACAGACTGCTGAATACACACACAGAGACTGCTGAGTACACACAAACAGACTGCTGAGAACACACATACAGACTGCTGAGTACATACACACAGTACACTGAAAACACACAAAAAACACACACAGACTGCTAAATACACACACACAGAGAATGCTGAATACATACACATACTGCTGAATGCACACAGGGTCCTGAATAGACAGACTGCTGAATATATACAGACTGCTAAACCCACATACACACACACAGACGGCTGAAAACACACACAGACTACTGAATACACACACACTGCTGAACACACACAGAGAGACTGCTGAACACACACAAAGACTGCTGAATACATACAGACTGCTGAATGCACACACAGAGACTGCTGAATACAATCAGACTACTGAATACACACATAGTGCAGAGAGGGGTGCAGTGTATGTGTTTGTGTGTAGGGGTGCAGTGTGTGTGTGAGAGAGGTGCAGTGTGTGAAGGGTGCTGTGTGTGTGAGGGGTGCTCTGTGGGTGTGTTTGTGTGTGTGAGGGGTGCTTTGTGTCAGGGGTACTGTGCATGTGAGGGGTGCTGTGGCTGTGTATGTATGTTTGTGTGTGTAGGGGTGCAGTGTGTGTGTGAGGTATGCAGTGTGTGTGTGAGGGGTGCAGTGTGTGAAGGGTGCTGTGTGTGTGGGAAGGTGCTGTGTGTGTGCGAGGGGTGCTCTGTGTAGGTATGTGAGGACAGGTGCTGTGTGTCAAGGGTGCTGGTGCGTGTGAGGGGTGCTGTGTGTGTGTAGGGATGCTGTTTGTGTGTGTGGGAGGAGTGCAGTGTGTGTGAGTGTGTGTGTGTGTGTGTGAGGGATGCAGTGTGTGAAAGGTGCAGTGTGTGACGGGTGCTTTGTGTCAGGGGTGCTGGTGTGTGAGGGGTGCTGTGTGTGTGAGGGGGTTGCTGTGTGTGTGAGGGGTGCTGGGTATGTGTGTCAGAGATGTTGTGTGTTTGTTGGGGGTGGCTTTGTGTCAGGGGTGCTGTATATGCGTCAGAGGTGCTGTGTATGTGTCAAAGGTGCTATGTGCGTGTGAGAGTGCTGTGTGTGTGAGAAGTGATTTGTGTCAGGAGTGCTGTGTGTGTGTGTGAGAGGGGTGCTGTGTGTGTGAGTGGTGCAGTGTGTGATGGGTGCCATGTGTGTGTGAGGGGTGCAGTCTGTGAGGGGCGGTGTGTGTATGAGGGGTGCTGTGTGTGTGAGGGTGCTGTGTGTGTGTGATGGGTTCTGTGTATGTGTGTCAGAGGAGCTGTGTGTGTGTGAGGGTGCTCTGTGTGTGAGGGGTGCATTGTGTCAGGGGTGCTGTGTGTGTGTGTGAGGGGTGCTGTGCCCTGATAGTCCACTGGTGGTGAGTTGTCTATAGCCTGCAGCTCCTCTGGCTGCAGGCTGTCTTCACTTCTCCCGGGTGCTGAATGCTGTGTCGGAGCATTGCCATAGTAACATGTGGCACTGCTCTGCACAGCATGCTCGCAGTAGGAGTGCTCTGCCTCCAAGGTCCTCAGCCCTCCCTGTCACTAACAAAGGCGCTCAAAGATCTCCCTCACCGGCGAAGAGTGCCCACAGCAAGAAAGCAGGTTTCTTCTGTCGGCCTGGGCATTGCCACACACACACACAAGCTCACTACTAACAAGCACACTGGCACACACACACAAGTTCACTACAGATAAGCTCACTGACACACACACACAAGCTCACTACAGACAAACTCACTGACAGACACACAAGCTTTCTCACTAGCAGGCACATACACACACACACACACACACACATACACAAGGCTGAGTATATCAAGCCTACCTGGCACTGGAGGTTGTTGCTGGGAGGTCAGGTAGCCATTTCCTGGCCTCTTCCAACTGCAGCAATGTCTGCTGCTTAACGGTGGGGGCAGGGTTTGGAGGCAGGATTTGCATGCGTGGGTGGAACTTGTGTCATGGGACTGAGCATGCTAGCGCAAGGCGGAACAGGGGCCTGTGTGCAGGGAAAGCTGCTGGGAAATCGGAAGGGAGTCTGTCAGTGCTCCCACCAGCCCCAGCAGCCTCAATGCAGCCGCTGCAGCCCCCCAGCACCTCTCCACAGCCCCCAGCATCTCTCTCCAGCATCTCCCAGCAGTGAGCACCTCTCTCCTGAACTCCCTAACAGGTTGTTACAGTACGAGGGAACATAATAAAAGCACATGGCCCTGCAAGTTGCTGGGTTTGTCCCAGGAGAGTGAATTGCCCAGGACTGACTCCAGCTTGCCGGGACCGTCCCAGCAAAAACAGGACAGTTGGCAACTATGCTGTGGGGCCGGGCTTACCGACATCCATGCCAGATCATGGATAAATTCAAACACAAGTCTGTATAGAAACACACAAATTATTAACCTAGGTTGGGTTTTTGTTCAACTATGAAATACTAAAATGATTCCCTTGTATGTAGATTTTTAATCTCATAAAATCATTCAGTTAGACTGTTATAGAAGTTTGAAGGTTTTATATGAAAGAAAATGATCTTAGAACTGACTGTTTAGTAGATACTATCCTGAGATACTTGTTGCTTAATACAGAAAGATGTTTCAGGCAGTAAAATCAATCATGAACCAAAAACAAAAAATTTAAAAGGAGTTCCGTACACTATAGGCACCAGACCACTGCAGCTCATTAAGGTCACTTAACCCTGCAGTGATAATTATTGCAGTTTTTAATAAACTTCCGGGTTGTTAGGTGACTTTTTGGTCGCCTAACTGATGTTGGACGTCCTAATGCAATGCAAACCCCTATGAGGGAAGTCCTAATGTGAGCCGACGTCAGCCTGAAACAGCGCTGAGGAACATAGGCACTGGAATCAAGTAAGTAACAGAAGAGGTTTTTAACCCCTTCTGCATCACGGGAACCAGGGGGGATGAAGTGGGGGCACTATAGGAAGCTATAGTGCTAGAATTATAATTTAACTTTAAATAGGGCAATCTAAGTCAGCTCTAGTGATAATAGAGCCAGGATACCCCTGATGATTGCCCACACTAAGTAGTCAAGCTGTTTTGGACACTTAGCTGGGTTCCACAGACACAAGTGATCCAGCCTCCTTAGATGTAGCTAAAGCCAAAATACTACTTCTACAGTTGATATGCCTGATAAATTCGTATTTGGATGGAATTAATTGGCTGAGAGAGTCAACCCAAGACAAATACAAGCATGTATTCCTGACCCTATAGTGTTAAACTATTTATCTATCACCACTGGCTCCCCCTTGGACCCATAAATATAGAAAGATCTTACCTTTATTCCAGTCTGCTGTTGCTGGCTCTGCCCCTGATCTGCCTACTTGGCTGACATCATCAGAAGTGATGATCTCAGCCAATCACAATGATTTCCCATAGGGATGCATTGGATTAATATATCTCTATGAGGAAAGTTCTGATCTGATCTGCCTACTTGGCTGACATCATCAGAAGTGATGATCTCAGCCAATCACAATGATTTCCCATAGGGATGCATTGGATTAATATATCTCTATGAGGAAAGTTCTGTGTTTCCATGAAGAGGGTGGAGAAACTGAATGTCAGTGCTGCACACTGTGCAGCACTGCTCCAGGAAGCACCTCTAGTAGCCATCTGAGGAGTGGTCAGTGGAGGTATCCCTAGGGTGTAATGTAAACTCTGCCGTTTCTCTGAAAAGATAGTGTTGGCATGAAAATGTTTGCAGGGACTGACTACATTCACCAGAACAAATACAATAAGCTATAGTTGTTCTGGTGACTAAAGTGTCACTTTAAAATAAATTAAGTCCAGGCACTCAGAATTGCTGCAGCAAGGCAGGTTTATTAAAACAAAAACTGTATAAAAACCTTTATCAAGTTTATCATGTGTAGGCCAAAACGTTGCAGTTTTTCTACTAAAACAGTTTCACATCTTACCGTGGGACTGCACCATAACCACTACAGTGGTCTGTAGCATTTAGAGTGCTTAAAAATGTTTTGTCTTTTTATATTTGTCCAAATGTACAATTCTTTTTAGCTTCACTGAATTGTTCAAACTCACTTTTTGCAAACCACTTTGCGAATTAAAATATAGTTAAATTGATATTAAATGACAGAAAAACAGTGACATTTTAAGTATCAGCTGACTAGCAAGAAAATAATTCCTTGGACATTTTCTAGAAAGCAATTGTAGCGGAACGCCAATATAAAATCCACGAATTCCGCTGGTCTAGAACGAATCCACAGTCAAGCGCTGAAAACACCAAGGCAATATCCCCAACCTCCCAATAACCGGACGAGACACAGTTTTGGGAGTCAACTGACATTCCTTTAATCGGCACGACAATTTATACAAGTCCCCATGCAAGGGGTTTCCTGAGTCCCTTCCCAGGGGCACTCCCAGAGGGGACTACATGGGGGACTTACAGTATAACATATTTCTCCCATCAGGCACCGCTGCACGAGAGGGATCATCCTCCCAGAATGCACGTTAAGGGGATTATCCCCTCGTGCAGCAGAACCGGCAATTCATATAAAAATACATAACTTTTAAAATACACGGTGGATTTACACGAATGGACGTTCGGTAGATAGCTGGGGTCTGGGCGCATCATTCGTGAGATTGCCGCTCAGATCCCAGCCAAATTAACCGAACGCCGCACAGAAAACACATTTCTTACAAAACCCACAAAAGGAACCGATTGCTTTGGGTGAACTTGGTCCTGAAACTCCCGAACGTCTGGGAGGCTCAGCGGTGTTCGTGCCGTCGAATAACTATTGGTAGTAGTATGCGTTCGACGGCACGAACCCGCTGACGAACAAGGGATCCAAGATGGCCGACCGCCGCATGGTCGGTAGTCGAACGACGGCCACCCAGGAGAGCCTCTAATAACCGATTGCAACAATGTTGCAATCGGTTAACTAGCGCCACACGCCTCTAAGTGTGTGGGCTATTAGGGGGTATCGCGTTCGGTTCACGTACGGCTTTCTAAAGTGCCGTTCGTGAAACGAAAGAAAATCCCCATACAAAACCGCCAATTGCATTCGGCGGAAACAGTATTACAGGCAACACGGAAAATACCTTAACATCTACATATGTGTACAGCGCATATCTCGCCCGACCTAGTGGCAACCCTTAAAGGCACAGTCTCTGGTTATTGTCCAAGTGGCTAGGTTTGCCACAGCAACATTTTGCATAGTGAGAGAATCTTAAGTGGCAATTGCCATAAGCTCTTTCTTAAAAGAAAATGGCAAACAAACCTAGGCAGTAAACCATCCCAGTCATATTGTATCTATTGCAGTGCAGGGAACAAATTGAACCTGGTGGAACTACACCTTGATCAATAGGCCTGCAGCTGTACTAGAACTTGCTTCAAGCCCAGTAACATGAGGAAGAAATAATTTTCCATGGAGACTAGTTCATACAGGTTACCATCTTTATTGGCCGAAGCGAGACTGATTACATAGATATACAGTCTGCATAAGACAATACCCATGATCCAGGCCTTCCTTAACCGTAATTGGGAAGCAGAGGCTAGAGTAGAAAGAATATCTGCAAACTGCATTTCAAAACCTGTTTGATGCAGACTCTGCAGGAATCAATAGTAGAAGTAATTCTTTAAAAATTGCAATACCAACCAACAGCCTTACCTGCTATAGGCTTTCCTTAGCCGTATTTGGGAGGCTAGATCAGACAGATTAGCTGCAACTGCATTTAAAAACCTGTTTGACGCAAACTCTGCAGGAACCAATATTAGGAAGCATTTTCTTTAAAATTGCCATTCCAACAGTCAGTTAGCTCAACCTGTCTTTGTAACTGACAACATAGGACTTGGAATTTAAGACAAAACATAAAATGTGCAACCATGGAGTGAAGCACATGAAAAGTTCTGCCCCAGCTGAAAAACAGACTGCCTTTTTAGAAACTGATATCAGGTGAAACTAGTTGAGGTGGTGAGAATGCTAATTGCAACAGAGCTTTGTCTACAGCAATTGCTAAAAGCCTACTGCATATTTAAGAAAATAAACACTGCGGCTAGGATTCTGGCATTTAAAGAATCCATCTGCTACAACAGTATATTAACTTATCCAAAACCAGATTTTAAATATCAGCCTCCTAAGGATAACATACAGAGGATAATCCTCCAATAGTCATACGGGTCTTGCTCCTGTGAATATATTCCACCGGAACACTTCACTTTAATTACTGACCCTGTTGCAGCAATTAGTATGTTGCAGCAATAATATGAAACCCATATTAACTAATCACTGTGTAGCAGCTATTTTGAGCCAGAAAGGAAACTTAAATTTACCAAATAGAATTATGAAAAAGTACATTCTTATCTAATACCCTTTATAGGCTTTACTCAAAGAATACTCTATTATGGGCCCGATCTACTAAGTGCTTACACTTTTAAAGCACTATTTGTTTTAAAATTTTAGGAATAATCTT